AATTATTTTCACTTTTTTTTAATTAAGTGAAATTTGGCTACCACCCTAGGTCAAAGTGAACTCTGAGAATTTTTATCCTAAAAAGAGGATTGTATCAAGAGGTTCAGGTATTCACGCTTCTGTTGGCAATGATATTGCAAGCAGAAAGGCAGTTGTATTTAGCAAGACAGGGACATGTTGTCAGTGGTTTAATAGCTTTCCCATCTGAAAAAAAGATAGAAGACTTACTGTGGAATTGAATCCCCAACAAGAAGTTCAGTTAAACCTTTCAAAATGTGGAAGAAAGAAAAAACCTTTACTCCAAGGATGCAGAGCAGCAGCTAAAGGAACCTGGACAGAGCTGACAGACATCAGAGCCCCTTGGCATCATCAAGTAGTCCAGCCTTGTTGACAACACATTCACCTTCTGTAGCACCATCTGCCATGGGCTTTGGTCACTTTGCCAAGTAACTCTTCCCAGTACACAAGCTTTCTGCTGCTAATGAGGATGCATCTAGCAGGAAAACAGGAACCCCAGTCAAACTCTGACAGCATCCCAATTCTACTGAAAAAAGATCCAATTGCAGATTTCTGGTCAGGGAAGCATGTAAGATCTTGACAGAAAATCTGCCTGGCCATGCAGGAGAAAGAAGCTGTTCAGAGCTCTGAAAGGCAACATGCTAACAAAACCCCATGTGTCAACTTCAGAAACTTGGGAGGAAGAGAGGGAACAAATCAATTAAAGCAGCTTGTGCCATTCTAGCTACTGGTATGGATGACTGTGACAGCATTATCCATAATTAATTGCATGAATTTTCTTGTAGCATACAGTAAAAAGTAAGATCAGCATAACGGCCCATTCTGACCTTCGCTATATCAACGTGCACTTTTCACTCAGCCCAAATTTTGAAATTTCAAACTAGAGTAAGGGGACTCATCTTTGAGCATGGCGCTGCACACAGAAGCAGATGGCATCCCTCTGCAAATGCTCTGGCACGTGTGACTAACAGAAGGTGACAAAATACCATCACACATATTGAATAACTGATAGAAAGATAAGGTTGTTCAAGCCATGTTTGCAAACCTGGTGTGCAAAGTCTGGTACATGGAGCCATGTAGTACAGCTGCCATACAACCCAGCAGCTCCAGGCAGGACCTGTTCAGCACCCAACAGGACTTAGCAGAATGTTACTAGCCAGAGACAAAACCTTATAGTTCATTCTCTAGGAAGTCCTAGATCAGACTTGCTAGTGTCTTTATTGTGGAGGAAAAAAGTGCTTCATCACTTCCAGATCCTCAGCTAGCTGGAGACCTAATTGGCAGAAAGTCTACATCAGTACTTTCCCCCAGACAGGATCTTCAAACAAGAATCCATGGCTGAAAAATGCAGAAATCTGTAGCAAGGAGCATCTTTTAGGAACAATTCCAGCTGAATTAGTACAGCAGCAGCAACACAGGCATCCAGGAAGATTAGAATAGAGCTGGCGCCTACAGCTATGAAAGACTGAATCTTTCCAAATGACTGTTGTAGGACACCAAAGAGATAGAAGATATCACAGCTGAAAACAATTTTCTTTGCAAAAGAAATTAACATATAATGGATCTCAGTCACAAATGAAAGCTTTTGCTTGATTAACTGCAAAAAAAAAAACCCCACCAACCTACCACCAAACAAGAAGTCAGGTTAGGCAAAGAAACAAATTCCTCCTACATCAAAAGCTCTGATTCTTATGAAATAAGATAAATAAGAAAACCAGAACAAAACATAAAATAACCCCCCACATATAATTAATTGGTAATTGGGGGCAGAAGAGCAGTGCTAATGGCAATGAGATGGCACTTTACCTCAGAATACTCCTCTGCAGGAAACTTTCAAAAGTCAAGGCAGTATTTTTAAAACATCCAGAACTGCCTCATTACCATCTTATGTTTGTAAATGAGATTATGTTTTGGTGAGGACAGAGCATTATTCTAGCAACAGCAATAGGGATGATGCATTCACAAAAATATCCAGCTCCTACTTCCAAGAACGGACTTCCAATATAACTATACATATAGTAGTCAGATGTTAATTTAGTGTTAGAGGAAGTGACTGCCCCTTAAGCACAGCGGACTCCTGAGAGTCCCAAGGCACTGCGGCAGTGATGCTTAGGGCTCATCACTCCTTCCTTGCAGCAGAATATGCAATGTCGGCCACTGCAGCCAATCTCACAGCAACAAAGGACTCTGTTAAGTGCTCAGGATGTCATCATAGGCACAGTGGCACTGGAATGAAAGGGTGACCGTATGATATGGCTGTCTGACTCACAGACTTAGGAGACCCAGTATTTTCTCAGGCATCTTTGGGGATATTCCTGCAATGAGGCTGCTCCAAAAAGGAATGGAAATACTTATCTCCAGCCTCAATTATATACCTTTCTGAGTATGTTTTTAACTGCAACAGTAAAGACAGCATCGGTGTCCACCAAAAAGTAAGATGCTCCTACCAAAGGAGATACAATTAATAAAACAAGTCTGAAAAGGAGACACATCACTGTAAGAGATCAGTTTAAGCAGGGAAGGTTGACCACAGCATCTTAGGATCAAGGCCAGTGAAAAAATATGCAGACTGTCAAAGATACCAGCCTGCCTTAATAATTACAAAAAAAAAAAAAAAAAAAAAAAAGATGGTGAAATTGTAAAAGCATCAAATATGTGAGTCCTCTGGATCAGTCACATTTTTATAATTATATTAAGCCACTCCTACTGCTGGAGTTCCAGAGCATGCCAGCACAGATGATAAAATACTACCCCAATTGCACTGCTTACAGTGTGATTGTACAGGCTCGGTCAATCTCCCAAGTAATTCTAAAGACTATTTTTCTGTTACACTAAATAGTTGCTTAGCAAACATGTAACAGGAAAATCAGGAGCAACATATACAACAACAGTTCTTTCATCAGTTTGTCATCACTACTGCTTGACCACCCATATCAAGTAATGTAGAAAACCCATCCAACAACTCCAATAAACACTTTCTGGACACTTGCCTAGGAAAAGATTTGCCCCAGGGGAAATTCACTTGATGTGACTTGCAGGTGTAGAACAACCCAATAAAGCCCCTTTCATGAAACATCATCAACTACATTTGAAAGGACAGCATCAGTTTCAGGATGGATAATAAATGATTAACTGGTAATCTAGTAACAGGTCTCAGGGCACCTGCCCATTATTTGTTGTCCAGCTTCAGGTAGATTTGACAAGAGGGAGAAAAACCTGGGGGTTTTCCCCTTCAAAAGCAATATACAGAGGGCCAGTTTCTGCCTGTCACTGAAGAGGGTCTCCAGATCACACACTAAGGCCAAAACTGCATTTGTGTGTTAGTGAAAACATTTTGAAAGACATTAACACAGACCCTCTGCCCTTTGGTTACAGTGTACTCTAAAGCAGTGCCTGCAATCCTCCTCCCCAATTTGTCTAAAGCTAGTGTAAGCTTGACAAGCTGTCACTCTCCAGCTAACAGCAGCTCCTGGCTTGGGAAGTGTCTGAAGGATGGGGGAGGAAAGCTATTGTGCATGGTGAGCAAATACAGCAGCCAGCAAGCTTTCAGTGTGCCGTTTGATGCTGACAAAGCCTTTATTGCATTAGTTAGGGAGCACATCACCCGAAGAGTGCATGTGCCTCTGTGTCATAGATATATATATATATGTATTCATGGTGTTTTTAAGGGGTTAAAAGTAGCGTGTTAATCCTTGTTATTCCCCAAGTTATCTGTGACCATTTGTAAATTATAAAAATTTTTCATGTGATAAAACAGACTAGTACTCTTCAGGCTGGAAGCAAGACTTCTGTAAAACAATGAATAATAAGATCAACAGGCAGCAGGGGAACACACACACACAAAAAATTCAAATCAGAGGTTTAAAAAATAAAATAAAATCCAAACTAATTTTCTACCGAACAAAACTAACTTATGAAGCTCACTGATACAGGATGTTATAGAGGGCAACATATGAATCAAAAGTTAATAAAATAAGCTTGTGGAAAATAGGCCCAGCATGTCTATTAAAACAGAAGCAACCTTTGTCTCAGCAAGTAACTAAACAGCAAAATTCCAGAACTAGGGACAACCACCGGCAAAAGATGTTAGGGTTAGGTTATCCATTGCACATGCTATTTCCCTATGCTTGGGCAACCTCAAGACAATAAGCATTACAAAAAATAGGATCTTAGGCAAATACAGAATCTCAGGAAGCCTTCCGTCACTCGGCCTTGGGTCTCTAAAAATGAAGAAATAATGTATGTTAAAATTAACTCATTCAAGATAATTCTGTTCCCATTTTCTGAAAAAAATCAAACATTTGCATGATATGAAACACAGCAGCACATACTAGATTAAAAAGCGAGGAACAATTACAAGTTAATCTATCCTGATTTCTCATTTGCTGTTTAGTTAAGGTGTTTCAACTTGCTGCATTTACAAGTGTTGTTAGGACAGAGCATTCAGTTTCTACTGATGAAAAACTGATTTTAAAACTCAGTCTGAGCCCACCCAACATGAAACAAGGCAAAGTAAAAATCAAATAATGTTTCTGGTGCTGAAAGATAGTATTTTGTAGGAATTAAAAAAATGAACACCTTTATCATTAAGGTTGTTTTTTTTTAATCCATCACCTACAATCTTTCTTACTGAAAAGACTACTGTAACATATATACCTCTGCAAATATTAAACCAGTGCTGCCATCTCTATTCTTTTTGTTTTTAAGCAAAGAAAAAGTCACGTTTATTTTGTAGTAGCAATAGTTTCTTTTTTATTTTTAATATACTTTAGGAAACAATATACAAAGCTGAGCTTTGCCACCATTTTCAAACGGTGGGTTGCTCCAATTACACAAATTCAGCGTTTTGTGATGGTTAAGAACAGCAGTCAGCACCAGACTTAAACAGTTAGCTACAACACAAACATCCTTCGAAATGAAATGTCATAATATCAAGACAGGTAAACCAGGAGTTAACATATGACAACTGTTGGGGAGGTGTCTTAAATCATTCTTGTTGAATTTTATATTTCATTAAATATTTTATACACATTTTCCTGTTTACAAGTTTTAAACAAAACCTCCCTTGAGGAATTATTTAAGTACAAAAATGTTCAACAAGAACAGTTCTAATAAAGAGTCCCCAAACAGACCAAATTTTAATATGCGTTGACCAAAGGAAATGAAAACCAGTGTTTCTTTGTTTTAACATGTTTATTACAACAGATACAATTCACATCTGACTAGCTTTTTTTTTTTTCCTCTTTCCCCTCCCACAACCATGTTAACATGTTCATTGGGCTATTTCCTTATATTTGAGCAAGTAATGTACTTTCAGCACACATGCCCAGCAGTACTATAAGTCCATTCTTACAGGGTGCAAATGGAAATACGTTTCAATAATTTATACAAACAAGTGGGTTATGCTCAATCACTGCAATTTTAAGCTACTGTACACAGGAATGAAAAGATTATAGAAAAAGTGCCATAGCAACAGTGCCTTAAGAAAAGAGAAAATTAGAAGCATTAAAAAACTGATAAAATCAGATTTAGGATTTCACGGGGAAATGGAACACAGAAAATGAAAAACACTTCTCTGTAAAACAGAAATGGAGAAGCACTGCTCTCAATTCGGTGCAAGTGTGGAAACAGTTGTTTCATGATATTTTGTACATTACCCAAATTGTCGCAGCCTTAGACACAGATCGCCTGGCGCTTGCATTGAATTTTAGGAAATGCAAAATTTCTGAATGATAAATTAACTAGAAAAAAAAAAAAGAAAGAAAAAAAAAAAGAAAGCTAATTTTGCAGACAGGTTTACATGTAAAAGGCTAGGTATTTAGCCACCTCAGCATTGATTAGTTTTGGATGTCTAAGCTCTGATACACATGGCTTCCCATGGCTTCACTCTACAAAACATATTTACAACGTGAAGAATACATCTACAAGAAATCTACATTTCAAGGGTTTTACAAATCATTCTTGTATCTTTCCCCTGAATTTGACTCCCTCCTGTCCCCTTCCCCATGTCAACTTTTTTTCTGCCCAGCTCAACGGTCCAAAGTCTACTCAAATGCAGCTCAAAAGTGTTAAGACTGGGCATCAGTTTAATAGTTCCTGTACTCAAAACCATGTGCAATTGTTTACAACTTTTCACACCATGAAGGAATTCTGATTCTTTAGCTTTTCAAGTTCTTTAATTTGTTGCCTCAAAAATAGTATCCTGCAAGAGAAAAGAAATAAATTAGTATAAACACTTCCATTTTACAGAGATAGTAAGTACCTAGACAAGTATTTCTACAATTTCAGTGAAAGATACCAAGCATTTTAGCTCTATTAATAAAACTCAGTATTTTTAAATTAATCCCAATCTGTTTAATCACCTACAAACACTGTATGCAGATGCAGAGACCTGCTGTGTTTGATACATTTGTCCGGAAAATTAAGTTGCTATATTTCATTATGACTGATACACAGTTATGCTTAAGCCTGTTCTTCCCTTGAATCTAACTCCCAGAAAAAGCAGGATACTGGCAGAGTATGCTGAGTAACTGAATATTCTGAAGAATGTTATGCTTGTGTCATGCAGTCTTCCAGACTACACAAGAACCGGAAGTGCTCAACTTCTTTTAAACCATCAAGTTTTCTTCTAGGTACAACACTTTTTTTCTAGTATTTGGCTCTGTGGCTAGTGGTAGTCTCTAGTTATGGTAAGCTCCAATCTCAAAATATGTGATCATTAAAAGTCACCTAAGAAAAAAAAAGTTGCAACTACACTTGGCTTAGAATTATATTGCTTATATATTTTTGCTCCTTCTACTGAACTGACATAAACAATTATTGTGATCAATGAACACGTGGTTTACACAACTGCTTCCCAGAATTTTTAATTATTATTTTGAAACGACTTTTCACGATGCTGAAGTGTAATGCAAGCATGTGAATGAATTAAGAAAATATTCAGGGAAAGTTGAAGTGTCATATATTCTACGCACTGCAAAGCAACTTTAATTGATGCAGAAAAAGCATCCACTTCAGCAGACTTTTGTAAAACACTTTTTAAGTATGTGTCCAGTTCAGTAAAAATTAATTTTCTACTGAAAAGTAGGCGAAAAACAATTAAGATGGACACACTGAAAAAAAACATTTAACTTAAAAGGCATGGGCGTATCAAACATATCAGTCAATGAAAAGTGTCTTTTCACATGCTGTCAGTTATGGTTAAAGTGATATACTCGCTTTGCCTAAAGTTCCCTCTTAGAACAAATTTAAATAGTTATTTTCTGTGCAGAAGTACAGAAATAATACCATCATTCAAATGTATTTGCTTTGATAAGCCCATGCTTTGTGAAAGCCTCCCCCCACCAACTTGTTACTTATGCCATGTATTCCACGTCTTTGGGATTGCAGCAAAAATAAAAGATACATGTTATCATAGATTCAAAGTCATAATAATCATTATCCATTGATAGCTTAAGGATACACAGTGTACAAGAAACAAGGTGCTATTTAGTGAGCTGAACAATGACATCTGACGTGTTATTTCAGATCAAATGTGCACTGAGACAGAAATGAAACCTTAGGAAATGAAACCTTCAAGAAACCAAGCAGTTCATTAAATATACTACAGAAATTGTAATTTATGTAATGAAGTGATGAAATAAAATTTTAGAAAGAATGGATTTTTTCTTTATTAGGGAAGATTTAGAAATATATTATAACTTACTTTTGACTAAAGGGTTGTTTTACTACCTGCCAAAAAGCAAGACCTTCAAGGATAAAGCTAGCTATTTAAACAGCATGCAATACTATTAAATCAGCTCAAAATAGTAAATCATAATCACTGTATTCAAGCTGCAGTGTCACTTGAGGTAACATCATTCAAAAAAAGAAACACTATGAAAGTAGATTCAGGATCATGACTGCTGGTGAAAAGTTTCAGCATGTACTGTAAGATTAAACTTTTCAATCTTGCACAGTATTCATCAACGTGGTTGTGTATCGCTTCAGTGATACACAAGACACCTGCTATTATTGACTTAAGAAGCAGAAGTCTACTTTGCTATAATCAACATTTCACTAAAGAACCCCAAGATCTTCTCAGATGCCTCCTACCTAAGTAACAAACATTGAATTTTTATTGACACCTGTTCAAATTTACTCTGGCTTTAGACCTAACAAATGTCTCATGCAAACTGTAGTGTTTAAGACCAGTATTAACTGTGCAGATCTGTACCTATGTGATCTATGCATCATGTATTGACAGTTTTTCCTACTGCAGTAATGTATCTGGAAAGATACTACTTTCTAAGTGAAAACACATACAGAAGCTGCATATCTGGTTCTATTCACTGGAGACTAAGAGTTATTTGTGAGAGAAACAGGTAGAATGTACACAAGGAAGACAGCTTGCAAACCTGGCAACTATTAGCTTACTTTGAAAGTCATCAGTAAACACAGCTCATGCAAAACAATGCCAGAATGGAAACTCTAATACCACCTTGAAAATTACCATTTTGACAATAAACACAGAGCACAAACTTACCTTTGCTCACGCAAAGTTGCTTGAATTTCACATACTCGAACTAAAGACCTTAAATTCTTTAATTCAGTACAAATTTCTGACATATGGACACTTCCCATGTTATGGGCTTCCTCACGTAATCTTGATGCCTGCAACGGTTACACATAAAGGTTAGGATTTTGAATCATGCATTGGAAACAACTGGCTGTAGGCAGAGGATTGCTGGATGAATGTGTCTTGAAACAGCAAAGCACTCTCACTTCAAAACAGAACATTAAATCAGAAGTCAGAACATCATCTTAACAAAGCACATTTAGAATCAGAAATGAACAACACTGACTGCCAAGAGATTGCCTAACCCAGGTCCATGCTATGGCAAGGATGGTTTAGATTTCTTTGATCCTAACAAACGTTTACCCAACCATCTTGAAAGACAGTACATGACAGGGCTCTGAGCTCCAAAGTAATTTGTTCAATTAGTTAAAAGTCTCTATCTGCTATTTCAATGGCAGACTTAAATTTCCCATCTACATTAAGCCTTAGTGACAAAAGAACTGAATGCCATCTTTTGAGCTACTTTATACAGGGAAAAAACTTTGTAACTCTCTACAAACTCTGTTATATTAATATCCCCACTTAGTTAGGTAGAGACAAGCAGAAGTGTAAATTTGGAAAGTGTGACCTATCCCAAATGTGTTCATTTCTTAGTTTTATCACTGAACTGGGTATGACTCCAGAGAACTCCTCAACACCACCAAGGAGACTGGTATAACTACTCTGAGGTCCTGTGTATCACACTGCAATAATAAAAGAGGACTTCTTGCAAGTGGCACAGTGAAAAAAAAAAAATGTTTCAAACAGATCCTTCCCTGCATTATTACTGTTTAGAAAAGTTATTCACTGCTGTACTGGGTCTGGCTAGGATGGAGTTAATTTTCTTCACAGCAGCCCATATGATGCTATGTTCTTGATTTGTGACCAAAAGTGTTGATAGCACACAAATGTTTTAGCTGTCTTTACACAGTATCAAGGGTTTCTCCCTTTCTCTCTGACCCACCCCCAGCAAACAGGTTGTGGATGGACAAAAGGTAGGGAGGGAATGCAGCTAGGAGAGCTGATCCAAATCAACCACAGGGATATTCCATACCATACAATGTCATGCTCAGCAACAGAACTGGGGGGCAGTTTTCTAGGGGTTGCCATTGCTCAGGGATTGGCTGGCGGTAGGCAACTGCTTCTGCATCACTTATCCTCCCTTCCCCGCCTTTTACTTATTAAGCTGCCTTTATCTCAATCCATGAGTTTTCTCACTTTTGCTCTTCCAGTTCTCTCCCCATCCTACTAGGGAGAGTGAGCAAGCAGCTTTGTGATGCTTAGCTGCCTATCAGGGTTAATCCACAACATCTGCCTAAGTACTTGTATACTTGATTTTTCCTTCCCCAAAATAGTGGTATTTAGCACAGGTCAAATTCTGGCATTTCTCTAGTTCAAAAAAAGCACTCTGTTTTCTAATTCCCTACAGTAAAAGTTTTCTTTTCTGGAGTGTGTTGACATCCAGGAGTACCCTGGTTTCCTGCAGGGCATTTCGCATGTCCTCTGTACACAATCCCTGAGACTAATAGCAAACAATCAATAATGACTTTGCTATTTTTTTAAGCTGATCAGTCACCCATCTTTAAGTAACTGCATTTAAAAGGCCTTAAAATCACTTCCGCATAAAAGATTCTTGTTAAAAGGTGTTAACAGTCTTGCTACAAATGAAGATATAGCATTTATTCCTTTCCTGTATTACTAAAGTCTGATACTTTATCAAAAAAACCCGACAAAAACCTGATATAATTTCTTTCTAAAAGGACCATGCTGACTATTACCAGGGTTGCCTTTTCAGGTGTTTGTAAAAAGGTATATTAATCATTTTTTTCTACTTAGGTATTATTCAATATTCAAAGTACTGATAAAATTATTATGTATTACACCTATACTTTTTTTTTTTTAAATATCAAATATCTGACTTAAGTCTCTGAAGCATTACTATTCAAAACTGGTCTTTACACAACACTGTCATGTGAAATCATCTGAAAGAACAGAAAGGACAATACAGCATTTATTTAACACCTGACACAAAGATTAAAGTATCCAACCAAGTACATGACCACCTAGCATTAGCTGTTTTTTTTAATCTCTTTATTACTGATATAGTGGGGAAAAAGAAAGACCTATGAACTGTGTAAATCTTATTTTCTGCATTAAGATATATGCCAATTCAGTACACACTGAAAGTAACATGATCAAAACTATGGGCCAAGGCCATAGAGAGAAGTGGCTGTGCTTGCTCCATTTCCTTAAACATACATTCCACAGCAATGGCTCAGCCGTTTGACTCAGTACAGGCTGGTAATGTCTTACAATTGAATTTTTAAAATTAGTTAAAAGCAACAAAACAAGAACCCCAGAGTCCAAACAGGGTATCAGTCTAGACCGCACTTCTAAGAGTCATCGTGCAAGTTACTACACAAAAGCCTTCAAGTGTAGGTTTCAGCCAGCATGCAACCACTCTTCAAAAGATCAGAGTAAACTGGGCTAGGTAAGATTAATATCCCATACAGACTGTCAGACAGGGTTGCCTGTGAAAGGACTTGAACTAGACTCAATAACCAATACGGTTCCTTTGAGTAATACATTCCAAGCAGTTGACATACATCCAGTTTCCCTGTATTACCAGAACAGGATAGGTTTCATGCAGTTATAAAATATGGATGGCAATTCTACTGGATTTCCCATTATGTAAAAATAGCCCAAACTCAGTCTGAGCCCTCTACATCATCTTAAAAACTGGGTACAACAAACAAGGCAGAGTTCCTTTTTCACTGCGTAGAGCTAAAAACTCAGTGACTCAAACTATTTGAGACTACTCCACAGTTTAACTCCATCACTTAATACATAACATTTTCCACATAACAAAAATATCATTATTATAAAAATTTATTGAAGTTTATGTTCTTTGTAAATTTCAACAGAACTTTGGCTGTAAGAAAATAGTTAGGAGGATAATTATTCATTTGAGAGAATTTCAAAAGTACTGGTACTTTAAGCGACTGAAAACACTCAACTGCTAAATATCAAATCACATGTAAAACCTGCAGGTCTGGCCTATCTTTTCCCTCTCCTTTTTTCTGGCTAAGGTCAAGCATTGGGTTTTTTAAAAATACTTTTAATTCCTAGAAAAAGCAACCTGGGTAGGAAAAACAGATTTTAAACTACACATTTTGCACTCTCACAGGGAACTAAGTGCAAGTGTACTCACCTGTTTTTCTGCATGGTCTGCAGGCCAGCCTTGAACATGCTTTATAAGATTTTCATTGAAGTGTGCTGCTAGCGTAGGTGTTAATGAACAAGTGGGTCGTACAGATGTATTCTGTGGTGCAGGTGTTGAATTTGATGCACTAGTACTAGAGGTATGATTTGGACCTGGTGATGGGCTTCTTTGACTACTAGAATTTTAAAAAAAAAAAAAAAACAACAAAAAAACAAAAAAAAAAAACCAAAACCAACAAGAAAACCCCAACACTCTTTACTTGTTAGTATATCTGAAGCTGCATGGTGATACTTTCCAGATCATAAAACAGTGAGGTCCTTTTATCTGCCCTTCTAGGACTAATAATAAAGGGCACCTTTGATTACATGTCATCAATACACTAACCTATTGTAAGATATTCAAATCTGTGTTGATTTCTGCTGGCTTTGTGGGGAGAGGGGGTGGGTTTGTGTTTGGGTTTTTTGGGAGGGCTGGGTTTTTTGTTTGTTTGCTTGGCAGTCCTGTCCCAGTGACTGGCTTTACTGGAGACTCTGTCATACTGATGAGTTTGAGGGTACAAACAGAAGCAGGTCAGAAGTTTTTGAGTCTTTAATGTTGGCTGTCTTACAGACACTTGATTCTAATCTTTGGCAGTTGTCTAACCTACAACTCATTTTCCTCTATGGGTAGAATAAAGACATAGTGTACCAGCTCCAGCCTCTAGTAATCATGGATGGTGCTGTTTAAATTTTTCTGAATTACAGTACCAAAAATAAAATCATACTTGGCAACTAGATAAACATTTTTAATAAGAGGACTAGACCTTTTTATAAGGAGTAGTGAGGTTTTGGGGAACAGCTGTCAGTTTGTCCTTTGCTGATCACCCTTTCCCCATAAGAAATCCTGCTAAGGAAGATAGTCTTATTTTTGGAAACATTCACCATGGCCTGGAGTCTGTGTGAAGTGATACTGGTGGTCTTTTGACCTGCTAACCCATAGCCCATCCTCCCTTTGGGTTGTAGGACTTCCTACTCTGATATAACACCCATATTGAGTTCCCTTTAGGGTTGTACTGGCCCTCTGCAAACCACTGCTTTACTTGGCACCAGTATTTTGCTGGAGAAGGGAAGCTGAGTTTGTCCCAGTAACTGTGCTGCTGAAGCAGAAGGGTCATGCAGATAGCACTGTTCTGTATTTGAGGAGGTAGTGCACAATTAGAGGAGAGTGTGCAGGCTAGTATCAAAGACACTGTGACGATATTAGTATTGTTTAGTATCCTGTATCTCTCAAACTGTTACATGTTTGTGTGACTGTAGTATATTGAGCATCACAAGTTCATGTGTTTTTCTTTGGAAGTGTCTCATATGCAAAAATTGTAAGATTAAGGACAGGTGATTTGGAAAAGCCTGTGCAACTGGTATTTTCTTTTGTTCAGTGCACTAGAGTTGAATGAAAATGGACTAGCTCAGATACAGTTTTACTCATCTGAAAAAGATTTCTTCTGTCCAGGCAATATTTCTGAATCGATACAGAACAGATTCTTCCATTGTAGGTGAAAGCAGTCAGTTGGATGGGGACTCCTCTCAGGGCTAACTCCCTTTTTTATGGGAATGAACAACAGCTTAGCAACCTGAACTGTGGACAGGTGTTCCATAAAGAGGCTCTGTGAATTAACATTGCATTTTTTTACAGCTTAAATACAGGCTAATTGTGCAGAAGTTAATCACAACTACATTTCCTTTGCTTTTACTATTATTAAAACTTTTAAGTGAATAGAGCTAAAATTATTTTAACCTGTTTGGGAGGAAGCACCATCTAAGAAATATGTAAATAGCTGTTGTAAATTTGTGAACATTTCAGTCATGTAAGTTAGGAAACCTATGCAATATAGGCATACAGTAGGCATATCTTTTTGTAAGAGATAATTCCAAAGACACACCATTAATTGTGGCTGCTTTAAAAATGGATCCAAACGAATATTTCTATAATCGATAGTTTCATCAGGTTGCCCGTTTCTCTTTATTTCCAGAAAGGACTGGGAGTATTTTTCCTTTACCTTAGAAAATGCGAAACTGCTGGAGGGGGATGGTGTTTTCTTCCATTTTTTGTAGGTTGTAAGATTTTGTAGTATTGTATTTCAGAACCATCATGTTCTCATACTCTTGTACAGATGGCTTTGTCTCTTTGGAAGCATTCAGTTACCTGTGGTCAGTCTTTAACTCATCCAGCAGCTAAGGCAGGTACTTGGCTTTACTGAAGCATTTAAAAATACAGCAGTAGTTTGGAACTGTCTATCATTACTGCATTTGTAGCTCCCCCTGCTGCTAACATAGCAGTGCTAGGATATTTTGTGACAGTATGCTTTATAATTAAGATACAACTTTTTTTTTTTTTTAAACCTATAGGATTTATTCATTTTCCTGAAATTTTTCTGATGTGTTAGACTGATTTTTACTGATGATGTAGGAGTTGGAGAAGCCAGGTTGAGAAATTAAGAGGATGCAAGTCATGGGGGAACTTTCATCCTACTAGAAATAAGGAGTAAATAAGCATTGAAGGTGATGCCTCAATTTTACTTAGTTAATAAATGTAGCATTTCTCTTAGTATGCTGTATGAATACATAGAAACATAGGATAATTTAGGTTGGAAGGGACTTGATCACTAATTGTGTTCTAGTCCAAGTCCCGATTCTAAGTAGGACCAGCAAATTTGAATTGCTAAGGACAATGTTTAGGTGGTTTTCTAGTATCTCTTGAGCATCTTCTAATGTTTGACTACAGGTATGGTGAAATGTTTTTTCCCTATGTCGAATTAGAATTTCCCATGTTGCAAATTGTGTCTCTGCCTCTTGTTCTATCACTGTGTGTCTCTGAAAAGAGCCTGGCTGTCTGCTCTCCCCATAGGTATTTAAAAACATTAAGATCATTCTTCAATCCCCTTCCTTCAGCCTTCTCTTTTCCAGACTGACTAAACTTTTAACTTCTCCTGATAGGGCCTGTGCTTCAGCCCCCTAGTCATCTGTGTGGTCCTTCTTTTGGTGTGGCAGTTTAATTCTTGTCCAGTTTTGGGCTCCCTGCTATGCAGTGCTCCAGGTACTGTGGATCTTGTAAGATCTGAAGAGAGGGGAGGAATTGCTTTCTTGAACCACGCCCTTGCTAATAAAGCTCAGCATGTGCTTGTTCTGTTTTGCTACAGGGATACATTGCTGACTCACATTAAACTTGTCTGCCAGGATCCTCAGGTTCTTTTCTGCAAATCTGCTTTCTACCTACTCAGCCTGTGCTGTTTCATGGAGTTGTTTCATTATTGTTGCATGGGGATTATTCCACCCCAGGTGAAGGAATTTCGTATTTGCCTTTTTTTGAATTTGGTTCCCATCTGCCCATTCAGGTCCTTCTGAATAACAACCTGCCCTCCAGTGTACTGACTGCTCCCTCCAAGCAGGTGTCATCTGCAAACTCACTGAAGGTTCACTGTGTGCCACTGTCTAGGTTTTTAATAAAAATGTTAAAACATTATTGGCTTTATTATTAATCAGGGAAGCACAGCACTAGTCACTGGGTTTTCATTGGACTTCGTACTGCTGACTGCAGCCTTTGAGCCGAGCAGTTCATTCAGTTTCCCACCCACTTTACACATGAAATAAAGGCCGAATAAGTGAATAGTCTGACTATAATAATAATAATACTGCAGGAGATGATGGCAGAGACCTTCCTGAAGTCAAGGTAAAAAACATGGCTGCTTTCCCCTTATCCTCTGAGCGAGTCATCTCATCAGTCAGTGAGGTTGATCAGGCATAATTTCCCTTTGATAAATCTATGCTAGCTCTTTTTTGCCTTTTAGTCTTTTGTGTAGGTGGAACCACTTCCAGGAAGACTTGCTTCATGACTTTCCCAGAGACTAAGGTCAGCTGGCCTGCAGTTCCCCAGGTTGTTTTCCTCGTGCTTTTTGAAGATGGCTTTAACACTTGCTTTTTATCCCCCATCATCTGGAGACTGGCCTGCTCACCATGCTGCTTGAGTTACATGAGTTATAGTGGCCAGCTCCCTGAAGACACTTGGGTGCCTACCATCTGGCTGCATGGTCCAGTTAGCTTGACTGCTCCTTAACTTCTTCCTCTGCGTTAGGTCATATTTTCCTTGCACTGACCCTGCTGATGTGCTTGGGCATGTGAGAGGCCTGAGGGCAGGCCATACCCATGAAAACCCAGGGGGGAAAAAAAAAAAAAAGTTGGTGACTATCCTGGCCTTTTTTCATGTCCTTTGTTTCTAGGTCCCCTTGCCTTGTAGAGGGGCAGTCTACCTGTTCCTTAACCTTTCATTTATCCCTGATGTACAGCCCTTGTTGCCTTTCACATTCTTGGCTAGTTTCAATTCCAGCTTCAGAATGTAAATGCCATTTTTTTCCTAATCAGCTGAACATTTCTACAGTGAAGCAGTTGCACTTGTAAGTGGTTTTGAAGTAGTTGAGCCAATTACTGAAGAGAACAGAGAGAACGAACACCGCCCCTCCCC